TATGCCGTGGTCGAGCGTATCGAAAGCTGCCGATAAATCGAGTAAAGACAAAATCGATACCCGGCCCTCATCACAAGACGACAGAAGGTCGTTTACGACGCGCAACAGAGCTGTCTCAGTAGAGTGATGCACCCTGTATGCTGATTGGAATGGTTCAAACAAGTCAAACTGAGTGAGGTGATCCAGGAGTTGGCGGAGAACGACTTTTTCTAAGATTTTAGAAATAAATGGTAGATTTGAGATGGGGCGGTAATTTTCCATCACATTTGGGTCAAGATTTGATTTCTTTAATAGTGGAGTGACGATCGCCTCTTTAAAAGATGATGGAACAACACCAGTAGCTAAGGACTGATTTATGATATAAGTGATGATATATATACATATATAAATATTCATTGGATACCAGTGGCCAAGTATATTTTTATAACTTCAATCAAGATGGATTATATTAGAAAATACATATCACTTCAAATTGCTCTTCAGTTTGCTTCATTTGCCCACTGAAATTTTTTTTAAAACATAATTTTACTCCTTTTCATCCGGCCAAATATAATTGCATTTGTCTTACAAAGTTTAGCCATTTCAAGTATACTAAATAGTCTAGCCATGTAGCATTTGTTTAAATAGTCTAGCCATGTAACATAAAAGATGACTAAACAAGCAATCCCTCACTGTCAGAAGAGCTAGTGTAAAAATATTAATTTTTTTTAAAGTTAGGAAATGATAAAATCCCCTTTAAAATATCAGTGAAATATTTCAAAAACATACTTCAAAAGGGTAAATAAAAAAAAATTACTTTTCATCTCATGTCATTTTCTCGTACATTCAAATAAATAGTTGTGTCAATAAAACCATCTGATGGCACAGACAACATTCAACAAAACCATCTGATGGCACAGACAACATTCAACAAAACCATCTGATGGCACAGACAACATTCAACAAAACCATCTGATGGCACAGACAACGTTCAATCATAAAATGAATATTTGATGACAGCTATTTTTTCCATCTTTATTGTACAGATATTTAAAAAAAAACAGTTCCATTAAAAAAAAGGACAAGTGTAAATTAATACTCATACAAGTCAATCTCATGGTAACAAATAAACATCAATTATTTTATTTGGCTTGGATTCCAATTACCAAATTCTAAATTGGAAGTAACAAAAGTTCATTTAATTAATATTCCTCAAGTGCACTATGTTCATAAATATATATCAAGAAAAAACTCCTAGGTGTCCTCAAACAAAATTTTTGATCCACTGACAATCTCCTTGAAAGCCTTACTAGTGTAGTTGTTGATGGTGTCTATACTGGTTGGGATTTTGTGTAGCTTGATGAAGTTTTGACTGGTCAGTTTAAGAGGTTCCGGACCTAATTTGCCATCAGGATCTGCTTTGGTGACCTCTCTTTTCAACTTATGCTCTTCTTCTAGAACTAGAGTTATGGAACTTTTGACCTATTAACAAAAATTGAAATAAATATTTCTTTATAACTTTAAAAACGAAAAAATGGTTAAAAAATAAGGTAAAACAATTGCATTTTAAAATTGGCAGTCTAAAATTTTAGTATTCTCATTTGTAGCCTATAATTTTTAGTCTAACATTTAAGTCCAACCAGGCTATATTAATGCCTTGGGGGCAGGGAGAACATCCTACATTGGTAGCCAATAGCTATAAATTTATTGTCCATAGAAACTGATGGATCATTATAGGGAATGACAAGGCTCTACATTTTCATATAATAATAATAATAATAAAGTGTATTTCAAAAAACACGCTTCATCCCAAAAGGCTCGAAGCGCGGTACAAAAGTAAAAAAAAAATCTATAATTTACCACATTTAAAACAAACGCAACACTACAAAAACTAATTACAATTACAAGCATACCAAGTCAAAGTCTTTCTATCCATTCCAACCCTAAGCAACACAGCCAATATGCATTAAATATGCTTTAACCTGACTGGGTCCTCCCCTTAACCTGACTGGGTCCTCCCCTTAACCTGACTGGGTCCTCCCCTTAACCTGAATGGGTCCTCCCCTTAACCTGTCTGGGTCCTCCCCATATTGATACTAATAATTGTAACCTGAAAACATATAATTGACATAAAATTATTTCAAAAGAATTTTGTTACAGTACTATTAAAATACAATTAACCTGTGGAAAGCAGGTAATAATATTATACAGGTGTCTCTAAATGAACAGGGGCCCTAACAATGTTGCACACCTTTCCCAAATAGTTATTCCACCATGCGTCTTCCACATGTAGACTAACTTTTGTATGACATTTACGTTTTCATTTTTAAAGTAAATTTCAATGGAGGTAAACAAAAATATTCTTATAATTAGAACTTGAAGAATATGTTTTGTTTACTATAGTACATATTGAGGTACATTTTACCTGGTATGTCTTGTTTACCTGAGATGCCTTGTCTTACCTGGGGTGCCTTGTCGAGAAGATTCTTGATAAGTTTGTTAGCTTTGTTGTAAAGTTCCAGTGTCTCAAGGACTTCCTCTGGCTGTCCCTCACAATTCTGGGAAACGTAACGTTTGTCATAGGTGATTTGGATACAATTCTTTGTCCTTGAACCTATGAGTCTTGCATTGCCTAGAAATAAAATAAATTTAGTAATCAGAAGTCCTAAACTTATTATTTGGAATTCTTTTTTGAATTTCATATTTAACTTCTTATTTTAAGTTGTATATCTGAAAATGATTATCTAACATTATTATTGAAATTTATTTTTAACATCTGCAGATATTAAGTCAAGGATTACCAATCTCAGCAACCAGTTAAACTATATTATACAAATTTGGATACTCCAGCGATAGTTTAAAAAAAATATATTTTATGAAAGGTTTGAAAGGTAATAAATTATGGTGCATAATAAATTTTATTTAAGAAACATTCACAGTTAATCAAGCAACATAACATTCAAGACATAATATATTTTTAACATAATGATGTGCTTGGTGTTTTTACTCTGGACTCCATGATTGTTAGATCTATTCTTAAGGCTTGGGTGTCTCCCTAATTTATTCTTAAGGCTTCAGTGTCTCCTTAATTTATTCTTAAGGCTTCAGTTTCTTCCTAATTTATTCTTAAGGCTTCAGTGTCTCCCTAATTTATTCTTAAGGCTACAGTTCACTAGTTAGACCTGTCTATGAGTTCACTGGTGAGGCCTGCTATGGCTACAGTTTCTCTCTAATCTATATACAGGGTGGGCCATTAAAAGTGAGAACATTTCGTAGCGTTACATTTTATGAGATGTTCTCACTTTTATTGGCCCACCCTGTATATAATTCGCCAGCAAAGGTCAAACAAGACGGGTCAAACACCATGCAGGCTATTTATAGATACGCCAGAATGGGGTTCAATAATGAGTTCACTAGCACGTAAAATATAATTCCCAATAACTACGCTAAATGATATATATATATATTTAATAACGCAATTGCGTTTTGTGCATAATATTTTCTTTTCAGACATGAAATCATCTCAATTTAAGTATTGCATAAAAAATATTCGGTTTAAAAGTTGTTTGGACATGAGAATATTAATATAGTTCATGGGCGTGAAATAAAAAGTGTGCAGTGACATTTCATGGGGGAAGGGGGTGTAGCAAATATTGGGATTCTTTTAAATGTGCCTTACTTGAGTTCATGTTTTGTCAAGTAACTTAACTAGATGGGAAGTTCACGCATTGCTGTCGCCAATGTTTGCGGGCTATATCTAGTTTATAATATTTCTGTTTAATATTTAGTGAGCTAGCATGGTTAATCCAGTATCTAGGTGGCCCTTTAATGCATAGGATAGAAACTATACTTTAAAATTGAATATTTAAAAAAAATGAAAAAGACAAATTTATTTTCCAATTGACCCCCTTTAGCTCTCATAGACCCTTAGAGAGACTGTGCCTACCCATTAGGCAACAAGTGCATTAGGTGAAAGTTGACAGTAGGATATTGAAAGAGAAAAACTTACAGTAGGATATTGACATGACTACAAGCAGGGTCAAAAGTTAACAACCAAAAAACAAAATACATGACTTTAGAATGGATAGACACATGAAACCATTAAAATTAGAACCCAGACTTTTGGAAAAGTAAATCACTTCAAATATCTAGGATCCTTAATAAATGTAAGAAATGAATTATTTACAGAAATAAAAGAAAAAATATTGTTGGGAAACAGGGCATACTTCAGTAGTCACAAAATACTCTAAAGTAAAAACATTACAAGAAAAAAATTCTATAAAATTTCACCAAAAACACATGGACCAACAAAGGATAAATATGGATATAGAATACGAACTAACCAGGAATTTTATGGACTATATCAGGATCCTACTAGTGGTAGCAGAAATAAAAAAGGGCAGGCAACGCTGGATGGGACACTTAGAAAGAATGCCAAATGACAGAGCAGTGAAGAGGATGCATCATCAAAACTCCAGAGGAAAACTGCTCATAGCCAGACCAAGGCATGGATGGATGATGTGGAAAATATCTACAGCAGCTGGGAATCCAAGCATGGAAAAGAAAAGCATCAGTTAGGTCTGAAGGAAGTGGTGAGGCAGGTCAAAGCCCTACTTGGGCTGTAGCGCCACTGGGATGGATAGGATATGGATGTTAGGACAAAGACATATCAGCAATGACAAGTGAAGTCTTCAACAGTTTAACTAATTAAGCACTTACCACATTGCTTTGCCAACAGTTTAAGACACTCTGTTATTGTGGGAATTCCCGCAGTGTCAGCCTCAAACTTTGCTTTGAATTCATTGAGACATTTTCTCAAATCAACAAAGTTTGAATACAGATCATTATACAGCTTACCATGATCCTGGTAGAGAAACATCATATATTACATCATATATTATATCATATATTGCATCATATATATTACTTCCTTACATCATAAATTAAATAATTATATCATACATTAGACCATATGTGCATATACATTAAATCAGAGGTCCTCAGACATTTTAAATGGGGCAGTTCACTGCCACAAGCACTTGGGAAAGGGGGGGGGGGGCTGGTTATAGTTTGAAAAAAATCTGCTTAAACTCCAATGCACACTCATCTTATCGTATCTTATCTTATCTGTAGTCATAAGAGGAAATTACAATACAATATTTCAAATGTAGAGCATTTTTAATGACCATCAATTTTTATATATTTTATGGGATGTGTTTGGCTAGTAAAATTGAAATTGTCCATTTCGGTATTTGTCACTGCTACACGGGTAACCAAACAACAGCCAGGCAGGATGGATCTGGCCCATGGGCCAGAACCTCTGCATTAAATGATACCATAATTCTGGTACACACAGATAATTTGTACACATGTATTCAATTGTAATTTCAAGAAACCTGCCTAAATTACATGGTGGTAAAGAAATGATATTAAATCCTAAATTCAATGATACATACTAAATATTACATGTTGATGGAGAAGAGGGTTAGACTGTTATAAGTCTTAAGCAAATGGAACTATAAAAGCTATCTGTGTACACTTACAAGTGATATCAAACTATTTGACATACAAGTGACATCAAACTATTTGACATGCAAGTGACATCAAACTATTTGACATACAAGTGACATCAAACTATTTGACATACAAGTGACATCAAACTATTTGACATACAAGTGACATCAAACTATTTGACAAAACAACAGATCTGAGTAAAATTTGGCTTTATCTTAGACTATTTTTATCTCTTTAAATTGAAACAAGCATAAGTCTGTGTGTTTAACCTGAGGTAAAGTGGTCAAAAGAGTTACTGTGTGTATGGAGGGCAAGTAAGGTATATAGGTGAACTTTTGAATAGAGCAGATAATATTTCCTAGTGCAGAATTTAAAACCTTATTTCATTAGAACAAACACCTAGTTAAATTACATTTTATGACAACTGCACCCCCCGCACCCCCCCCCCCCTCTGGGTCATTTTTATTTTCTCCTTTCTTTTTTTTCCAGCATGTTTTGAATTATAATTTCATTCAAGCATTCTCAATGTGAACATGTATACACCCCACTCCTCCTCCCCCCATTATAGATTAAAAATAGACAAGTAAAAAGACAATTTTTGCCCCCTTGTCTTTGTGAAGTACAAGGGATTTTATCATTTAATTCACAAATACGCCATGGCAAGTGCCCCCTTCACACAGCCCTTCTTGCTAACACCATACAGTTGATGAACATCAAAAGGAGTAGTTAAACATCAAGATTAGTAGTTACACATCATGACTTGTGGAGTGTTTGCTTAGTGCTAGAGCAGTGGTTCTCAACCATCCTAATGCTGCGAACCTTAAATACAGTTCCTCATGTTGTGGCTACCCCCAGCCAAAAAATTATTTTCGTTGCTACTTCATAACTGTAAAGTACATGTGTTTCAGATGGTCTTAGGCGACCCCTGGGAAATGGTCGTGCGAACCCCAAAGGGGTCGCGACCCATTCGTTGAGAACCATTGTGCTAGAGGCTCTTTCATTCAAGATAAAATACAACAAATACAGAGTTACCTTCTTAGATTATGTTTCTGTCTTTGTAAAAATAGAAAACTAATGCTATTGAAAAATCATTTCTAAGGAACACTTAGTATCCTATTGGATACCAACCTGAACAGTTTTATCCAACAATGGACAACTTTGTATCCTATCAGATACCAACCTGAAAAGTTTTATCCAATGATGGAACACTTTGTATCCTAGCCAAGCTTATCAAGGAGAGTTCTTCAAGGGAACTTACTGTGTGATAATACAGTTTAAAAAAAAAAAAGAAATGCGTAAGAAATTTAAAAATATGGGTTGACTTAGGTTGTGGGTTGAAAAATCCCCAAAAAACCCAGTAAATCCAGTAAATCAACTTATTTGAGATTAGAAATAATAATGCTATAGTAAATATATTAATTAGTTCAATATAACAAATTGATGACATAATAAAATACAATTTTTAACAAAATCACCTAAACATAAAAGTCTAGACTAGTCACAGTCTATTCAGTCTTTCAGGTAGTCCATTGAATGACTTCATTAGGTAACTGACATGTAACTTACTTAATTCTGATTTCTCTGGCTTGTATGACCGAGCAGACTGCCCAGTGGCCGTCCCTGAAGGCTCTCGTGTTATTGGTGTGTGATGTGAGTTGCCAGATAAGAGGGGAGTTCTGGGGTTGACACCGTTATTGTCCTGGAGAGAAAACATGGGCACAGAAATGTATGCCATCAACATGACACAGAGATGTTTATCTTTTGAGGCGCCAGAATAGATTGGAGTTCTGAGAACAACCCTGATTTAGTCATTGGTCATGGAAAGATTAGTGTGACACTGCCTTAGTCAATTATTGGGGATAATAGCAATTAGGACATGTTGGTAGTTGACAGTGTGAACAGTGGCTGGTGATGAGTGTGATAGAGATCTGACAGTGTTTAGAGCGATTTGTGTTGGGTGTGGCCTGGAGTACATTTTTTGTATGAATTTAACATAGTTTTAAAAAGGACAGTTAGTTTTGTCTTAACAGTGTTTACAGTGCACTAATCAGCGGTTCCCAGGTAATACTTACTTGGCCATTCTTGTCACAGTCACAAATGTTGCCCATGTTGTGACCATTGGTGACTTCGCTGACTTGACAAAGAGGATCTCAAATTGTATCAGGGGCCAAACGATGTAAGTTTTCCCTCTCAGCAAATGTCCCTTTACAGAACTGTCTTTTTGAGTTAACCCTAAAAGTTCCAGCTTCTCTCAGCTTGACCAATGTCAAAACAGCCCGAACAGCTCAGTTGCCTTCATCAAGCAGCTGTGTCAGTCACAGGCACCAAGCTCCTGAATCAGAAACATTAAGAAATTGATGTTGAAACAAGCCTATTAACCATGCAGCAGGAATATTTTTGGAATACATAAGCCGTAAAGGCCATGTAAATAAATACTGCCCCAGGGTATGACTGTATATGGTTACAACTAATCTACATGGTAATTAATACAGACACATCAGAATATGTAAGATTAATGAAGTTTAACCATTGTTGATGTGTAACAATGACTTACACATTGTGACATAAGATATACATAAGTTAGGATAATATATCAATGGATATGATGTGGTGGAGCAGGCCAGGGCCCTACATGGGCTGTAGCGCTACTAATGATGATGTAAATCTTTTGAAACTTAATTACAAAGAAAAAGAAACAAAAGTGTAAATCAATACATCAATGCCCACAGTACACCAAAACTTAATCAAAAGGACAGTTCATACAGCAGACATTTGAAAATTTCTCTGTGTGAGCTTGATTTAGTTGTCAAATTGAACATTTCTCTGTGTGGCTGATCCATTTGGCCAATCGAACATTTCTCTGGATATGGTATACTTTTTAATTGTCCGAGAGAGTGGTTGATTGAGATCACATCAGTCAATAAAATGTTTTATAACTTATTTGACTTTATTAAGAGGAGATGGTTTGAGATAAATTGTAAGTATACAAGCCTATAGTGGCAACTTGATTTGATAACTTGGAGATATTGATTGTAAACATGATGTGATGATTATGTAGACTGCGTGATAACTAAGTGACATGACACTAAAGTGGACCTAGTGTTGGTAAATATTTTGGTCCATTTATCATTGTCTAATTTAAGATCAAGCTGCCATTATTAAAAGAATGTCTCATAACTGGTTTAATATAAAACTTTTGTGTCATTAGATGCTGCATGATATGGTTGGGTTCTACTACAGTGTGCCCTGCATGAAATGGTTGGGTTCTACTACAGTGTGCCCAGCATGAAATGGTTGGGTTCTACTACAGTGTGCCCAGCATGAAATGGTTGGGTTCTACTATAGTGTGCCCTGCATGATATGGTTGGGTTCTACTACAGTGTGCCCAGCATGAAATGGTTGGGTTCTACTACAGTGTGCCCTGCATGAAATGGTTGGGTTTTACTACAGTGTGCCCAGCATGAAATGATTGGGTTCTACTACAGTGTGTCCAGCATGAAATGGTTAGGTTCTACTACAGTGTGCCCAGCATGAAATGGTTAGGTTCTACTACAGTGTGCCCAGCATGATATGGGTGGGTTTTACTACAGTGTGCCCAGCATGAAATGGTTGGGTTCTACTACAGTGTGCCCAGCATGAAATGGTTGGTTTTTACTACAGTGTGCCCAGCATGAAATGGTTGGGTTTTGTTGAAGTTAAATGTGCAGTCATATAATAAAGAATTATACTGACTGAGGTCAAATGTATACAAAGTGTACACCCATATGGAGTAATGTCAAATGTGTACTATCATAGTGTACAACAATACTGATTAATGGTAAAATATATCAAATGTGTACAAACAGTGTACATTGCTGGTACATGACCCTAGACCTAATGTGTAACATATTCACTGACCAGGTTGATACCCACCCCACCCCTCCAACTGTACTTGAAAAGTAAAGAAATGAGACCACTGTGCTGATGGTTACAAAAACATGTCAACACATTAGTCTGTGCCAGTGCCAGTCTGTTAGATCAGCCTCCTCCAGAATGATGCCTAGTGGGCCAAGAGGTAGCATCCATCCTGTACAGTGTACTTATGTAATGTACACTGATACTTATCTAGGTCAAATGTGTACCTACCTATAAACAAGCTAACAGTTACAAGGATAGGGTACATTCACTGTTTGGCTACTACTACTTGGAATGGGCTTATGGCTTGGTACATGGTCATCAACAAGGGCTGCTAGTTACCAACAGGGTCTTGTTGTTTCATTTAATGACATGGGCTTGTGGTTAGTGACACCTAGTTTGTGGTTAGTCAGTTAGTAACATAGGTTTGCAGAAAGTGACTTGTGTTTGTGCTTAGCAACATAGGCTGGCATCAGCAAATTGGGTTTGTGGTCAGCAGTGCCAGTGACTGACCAGTGTGTCCAAGAGCGCACCTTCCACCCCCCCCCCCACACACACACAGCCCAGATTTGACACTGCCTTTAAATGTAAAAATGTTCATTTGTTTTTGGCTTTCCCTCTTTCATGAACTCACCAGAATACTTTAGAATACTCTGGTTTGTATCTCCATTACAGTATGTCTCCACCAGGATCCTTCACTTGTTTATGTCAACATTAATTAAACAGGATGTCTCCACAAGTCGTTGGGCACAATCTTAGATAAATAATAGTTGAGCAACAGGGACAGTTCCTTCCTATTCATAGTGCCACAATCTTATTTAAATAATAGCAGAGCAACAGGGACAGATCCTTCCTAGTCATAGTCCCACAATCTTACTTAAATAATTGCTGAGCAGCAGGGACAGTTCCTTCCTAGTAACTAGTGCTTGTATTTTTAAACCATGATCTTCCTTGTCTCAATATCTACTAGTACTAGTACTAGCAATGATAATAATTGTCTTCTGTATAATAGACTGTAGGCACAATAATAGCGAAAAACGTAACTTTGTTTTACTGTAACTGTAACTATAATCTTAATCTTAGTCTTACCTCAGTAATGACTGAGACCGAGTGAGTCTTTCTTACTTAGAGTAACACTTTTACAAAACATAATTTTATTTCTCAGACAAAATAGAGCACACATTTATACATCACACTGACTTGGCTCTTGGCATTTGAACTCTTACCTTTAACCTGAATGCACATATCTTCTTCACACCACCATTATGTGTGACACACAAAGACAACAACACACCATCGGGTCTCCGTATGTTCCGCATTTACTGGTCCATAACATCAAGTCTGAGAGTAAATTCAAGTCACATGATATCATTCAAACATGTGACTTACTGTTGCGGGGAATCCCAGAGTTTAACGGGAAAACTACAGGAGCAAAGAAGTAGGGTTACCGGAAATTTGATCGAAAGAAATTTCGTCGACGGTAATTTGATCGAACGGAAATTTGGTCGAATCTTTTTTTTTTCGGTTCACACTTCAAATTTGTTTTCAAATTTCGTTTTGAACGCACTATATTATAGAGTAAAACACAATAATGCGTTCAAAAAGAAGAGGCAAAATTGTAACGTAATTGACGTAAATACTGAAAATAAGATTCGACCAAATTTATGTTCGATCAAATTACCGTCGATCAATTTACCGTCGACGAAATGTCTTCCGATCAAACTTTCGGATACGAAGAAGTAGATGAAGTAGGAATATCAAAGGGGTCGTCCATTTATTAAGTCAACAATTTTTTTCGCAATTTTTGACCTCCTCCCCCCCCCCCCCTGTCAACAACTGTCAAATTTTCGATGACCCCCCAATTGAATTATGTCAACATTTTATACTCCCCCCCCCCCTAAAAATGAATTATAAGATCAATAAATTTATAAATACGTTTTAATTTGCGCTCAGGTATTTTTAATAACACAAAATTGTAGGAAAAACATTTTATTATATGTTTAGCTTGTTAATTTACTGTTAATCAACAAGTTAACAAGTTTTAACACTTACATTTTATAGTGCAGAATCAATCAAAAGTTTGTTAAAGACTACATATAATTGTTTGTGAGAGTATAAATATGATTATTTTCAGTATAGCTGCCAATTATAGTATAGTTTCTAGCTGCTTTTATTTTCCCATGGAGTAGCCAGGTGTTGCTGTATCGTAACAATGGGCATCAGGGACATCATTTGTGTAGGGCCGTGGGCATTCCCCCCCCCCCCCTGATATTGCTGGTTATATTTAAATTGCTATGTACTGTGGCGCATTCGGTAATAGACAACTTAACAAGCAGAACAAGGTTTGATCTTGCCCCCTTCCCCCTTGAAATAACCTGAAATGACGCCCCTGGTGGGCATAGTCTATAGTAGCTGATTTATCATTTTCATCTTGCGGAACTGATACACCAGACAAGTCAACATCATCCTTATGTAACTACTATTCAGCACTTAAAATCGAAGCATTGTCAGTGTCAGCAATAGTAGCAATAAGCTCTCTATGCCATTGAGTTGATATAGTTGTTATTGAACACCGATAAGTTGGTGGGTTTTTTTTTTTTAATTGAACACCGTGTACAATGATGTGTTAATAATTCTAGGGAGCGGATTAAGAGAAAAATGACTTCTCTTGCACTAACCAAGTGTGCTAACATTCTGACCAGCCATCTGCAGTGCACAGACAGACACACATTAAACAACTCTTATATTGTTAAAAACCTAAACATATTTATGACTATTTACACTCATTAAATTGTTTTAAAGATGTAAGAACCAATCAATCTTTGAGATTAAAATTCTAATAGAAAAAAAAAACCATGGTTGTTGACGTCAACTAATCAAAACCATCACATCGCGCTTCCGTTACCAT